TGAAAACATCATACAGGGAAGTGACTATATGTGTGAAGATATGGATAGTTGATGTTAGAAAACATCTAGGACAAGAAAAAATGAAACGATTGAAGCTAATTGGTAAGACAAGACGGTCGGGAAAATCCAATGCAGAAACAGCTACATTTAGACATTTCGATGCTGCTATCAATTAGATACTTTTGTAAATCTATTCATGCACTTATCAGTGATACAAGATTCAGACAACTTTAATGCAAAACAAAACAGAAAGAAAATGTTTTACATGAAATCTTCTAAAATTTGAAACAATATTGACAGCATTTACTTACTTGTATATATTTGAAACTACAGCATCCTTTGCAAGTTTATTTACAGACGAGTGGTTTAGATATGTTTACTGAATGCAATTTGGTAGATTCAACTACAACAAAGCAGAGCCATCTTAATGCACGGGCTGGTTGGGCAGTTGTTCAGGGACCTCACACTAATTTATGCATGGACCAGAACTTGACAATAATTTTCCGATCATTCACCGGTTGTGTAGGTGGGACCTGGTGCATTGCATTTCCCAGGGGCCTTGATGCTGTTAATACGGTCCTGCAACAAAGTTGAAGGAAAGACAAGAACGTGTGATAATGTTCTAATGTTCACAGCAAGGCATTAGAATTTGTAAATAAATGTAATTACAAGATATCACAGTTGAATATGGGTGAAAATCAAATATTGGAAATTGACTCTTTGGAAACAGCATTGCAGAGGTAGAGGAAAGAAAAGATGGCAGATGAGCTTGTAGGCGATGATGAAAATTCTTCAGATTATCTAGCTGATTTTTGAGTAACTTTGTTTAACCTAATAATGGATGACTTTGTCTAGTCACTAGATTCAAAATTTGTACAACACAATTGTGTATAATGATTTTTCCTGCTTGGATCCAGAAAACTTTAAAACTGTTGTGGAGAAGGACCTTGAGGATGAAGCATTGGAAGGTATTATTTAGCTGTCCCCACAAATCAGCATAGATGAAGTAATATTGGAATTGTTTTCATTTGTTTCAAACTTTGATGTGTTAAAGTCTTAATGGCGTCGAGAATATATATTCCAGTCGTAACAAGTGTAAAATTGGTATCACTTGTTCGTTGCATGTTCTAAATATTTTGGCATCCATCAGACTTCATGAAAAGGAGCATGATAATCTTTATGAATTTTATGAAGTTATCTGCACACTACTGTTACTCAAGTCCAATGTGAAAGGATATTTTTAAAACTAAACATCATAAAGACAAAGATTCAAGTGTGAGGATAATTTAGAATCATATATGTTACTATCCATTGGAAAAGATTTGTTAAGTGAATCAGAAGCAATTATTGACATATCTTCACAATCATCTAGTGAATTTAAATGATTGCTCTTAATAGTAGACTGCACGAAATATGCTTTTGACCTACCTGTTAATGTGTAAAATGTTCAGTACAAGCAAACTATTTCAGAATATCTACCGTTTATATAAAGTAAAATAATTAAAAATTCAATTTTAATAATATCTGTTTACATTTAGTATCTACTGTATATTGCTAGTAACATGTACAGTACAATATATGTACACTATAATTATTAAAAATATATAAGTTTATTTAGCAAAAATTTTAATTGCATCTTTCTTCCATTTATGTATTATTTAAAAATTTTATTTATTTCATGTAAAAATTAAATAATAATTTAATTGTTATGTCCCGTTTTGTATCTCTGCAATCGATATTTTTAAGCTCTGTCCGCCACTGTTTATAGACGTGTGGAAATTACAAAATATACTTTAAATGCTAATGTATTTGGCATACTTTATGCAATCTCAAGTCATCATACAGAACACAGAATAAATTAAAATGTTATTCCTTTCTGTTTTAATTAACTTAATCATAACTTACATTCTTTTCAAATTAAATGGTATTTTCTATGTGGTTGCTTGCAAGTGGTATAAAATGAGCCTTTTTGGTATACTTCAGTTAGCATCCAGAATTTTGAGACTATGGGTGCATCTCGAGTCAGATTTGTGGAACCGAGGCGTGTGCCTCCTGTTGTTTTTTAAAGAATGCTACTCAGTTACCTTAGATTACTTTAGTTACCTAATCTAACCTAATTGAAGTTACATAATATGCATTATTATATTAATTTTAAAGTAATTTCAACAATTTCTTTGGTATCAAGGATGCTACAGCATCATAAACCACTCCTGTATATGTCTCTAAAATAATTTTGAGACTTCTGTATATAGTTACTGAATTAAATATGCAAATAATGAGGAGTTGTAACATTAATTCATTGAAATATTACCTTCTGTTTTGTTTTAAGACAATTATAATGTATTTGTTCAGTCGATTTGCTTCTCATTTGATATCAGTTTGAACAAAGATCAAAACAACCTTCAAAAAATATATTTTGGTGTGTACATTGTTAAAAATTTTATTGCTAGATAGATCATTCAAAACACAATAATGACGGTAGTTTCATATATTTTATTGGCTGCAATAGTGTGCATAACAGATTACGTATATATACTAGATCAGCACATATCATCAATGCTGTGAGGTGGATGGAGAAACCTCAATTATAAATAAACAGCTTATGGAACTGGATGTATGTCAAAAAATAAACATTACACCAAAACTCCAGCAAAAAAGACAATTATTAGACAAACAATATAGTTTTATTTGCTGGATTTTTTGTATTGTGTGTTTATTTTTTGAGCTATATTTAGTTTTACAACTTGTTTATTTATAACTGAGGTTTCTCCATCAGGCTCAGTACCAACAATATCTGTTGATCTAGTGCATAAGCAGTTTCATATTTTTGAAATTTCTTTTATAGAACAATATCTAACAGCTTGAAAAATGTTAATAATGAATTAAATGGCTGATGGAATGTAGGAATTCTACTTTTTAAACTTGCAATTGGTTTAACTTCATCTGTTTTCTTCTGGATGGTATTGTTTGCCTATTAGTATATGCTTCATCTCTCTGTTTTGATGCATCTGTTGTGAAAATTATAACAAAAAAAAGCAGTTAGATTTAATATTTTTATAATTGACAGTCATTTATCTATAAATTGTGGACCTCTTCCTTGGATATATAATACTAAATGCGAAATTGAGTTTGTTACATCTATGTGATTGTGCAAATAGGTTTAGAAATATAGTGAAATAAAAGTTGATATAGAAATATCACCAAGTTTACTTTTCTACTGAAAATACGTTCAGGAGTTGTCCGTAAATTATATGTGGTTTTTGTACTTTAGCTACCAATTCATCCCCTATAATGCTTCATAATGCCATTGCACATAGCTACCCTCAAATTACATAATACTATCTTCAATCAGCCTCCTTAATTGTACTAAGGAATAATATGCAGCATCAAATATTAAATTATTTTATTAATTATTTATGCACAGAGATTCACTTGAGACTGAACACTTAGTTTGTTCAATACCTCATGATTACACAGTCACATTTGAATGACACTTAATGTTAAACATAGCTTGGTTAACTGTTTCGTTATGAAAGAAAGAATCATTCCATCTGTTAGACAGAGATATTTTGCATAATAAGTGTTTGGTCCCAAATGAATCATCCTGTATAACATACAGATCAAAGATATAAAAAGTATGGTACCCTATGCAACACTTCAGAAACAAAAATGAATCATTCTCCTACTCAAGGGTCGAAATTAGCATTACGTAACAATTTTGTAAGCATTCATATCTGCATTACGTAATTTATGGACGTCAGGAATTACTATATATAGCTGTAGTCCTAAATTTTAACTTTTAAACCGATAAAAGAATGCAATAATAATTTTATATGCAAATCAAATTTAAATTTCTCAAATTTACATACTAAAAATCTTTAAAAATGCAGGTTATTTATTAATATACTGGCACACGGGGCTTTTAAAAGCTTGGTATGCTGCCAGGAGGTAGACCAGGCCCCTTTTGTCGTTTATAACAGATTAAATACATAGAGAATGTTTTTTATTAATAAATAGTAGTCTTATTTGTTAGTAAAAACAACAAGGGTAGGGACTACTATAGGTTCCTAAAATTTCTCTGGCTCTCTTCCTCTCTACGGCTTTCCTGGTTTGTACATAGGTATTATATTAGAACTACATGTATACTATTATCATCTAATTTCATTTTATTCTTTTCACATTATTATTATTTTATTTATATTAAAATTTTTTTATCTGTTCACATTCTACAGCTGCATTAAAACAGATAAGTGTAAAAGTTTTTTCAATTTAGTGTCACGTTTAAGGCAGAACAAAAATAAGGACACACATTTATATTAAAACAATGTCTCGGATTACGTAACGTGTTTATAAATTCACCACCGGTTACTTTAGTTATGGAATTGTTTAAGAAATGAAGACTTAAGCAGTTCTAAATTCAGATTTAACAAAATAATCGTTCAAGAACGTTGCTAGAGATGACATTCGACACCGTGCAATGTGGTTTTTGAACTTTGAAATGCCATTTAAATTGTTTTTTGGAACATTCGCTAATTTAAAAGAGAAAAATCAATAAACTTAAGATTGTAATTATTAATAAATAAATACTAATTTCATTATAATCAATGAACTTTATTATTCAAGGTTTTTTGGTTATTTCAATGCTTATTTAAAAGATAATGAATAATGCGGATTAATTAACTAAATCGGAAGAAAAATAACGACTGTACTTTGAATGCCAATTATACGATAAAAATCGGGATTTTATTAATAGGATATTTGAAATTTTAAGTATAATACAGTAACGTAATACTTAAATGCGGAATAATACCGAAGCCATTTATTTTGAATGCGTCGCGTGGCAGTTTTTAAAAGTCTGTTTTTCTCTATCTTAAATTAATTTTTATTGTAAAATTTTTGAATTAAATAGAATATTTTAATAAAGAATAAAAATCTCTGTTAATAATTATGTAAAAATAAATGTAAAGGTGTTTTCAGTCTTATCATTTCTTTTATTTTAGAGCAGCTCTGTGTGAAATCACTAAAGATTTGCAAGAGCGGCTTTATAGATGGCGTCAAATCGAGATGCTTTGTGGTTTTCCTATCGTTCACAATCCAGGTTTATTGTATTTAGAGACTGTTTTAAAGTCTCATAATATCAATGGCAGTGTGGGAATACCTGCTTTTAGTGGAAGTAAGTTTTAACAGTACGTTATTTTGGGTGGTGTGGTGTGCTTATTTGTTAAATTTTTTTTTCTGTTTTTGCATGCTGTGTTTGCTGTCTTAATATTTAATTTATATATTTAATAATCTTTGTTGTTTGAGCAACTTTATATTCAGTTTCTTATTTTTTTGCATGCACTAATTAATAAGAATTGCATGATAATGAAGTAAATATATAACTTCATCGATAAAAATTTGGATCCCTTGATAGTGTACATATTTAGATTTACCTCCTAACTTCTATACTGTTGTTGTTGGTAAAAATATAAACTTAACTTCAGCAATATAAAATTTGAGACTGGGGTTACCATGGCTCCTTGTGGATAAATTAATTATCTAAGCAAACATTCAAGTTTTTAAAAAGTCAGAAAATATCATTTTTATTAGATGAATGGTTAATATTTTTGGAATATTCATCTTTCTAACATACCGTTGTAGCTTTACAAACGTTTGGTGGCCCACCAGTTGCCAAGTGGATAAGACTAAGTAACGCTGATAGTTGGTCGTGGATTTGCGTCTCACCAGTGGACTAGCCATGTGAAGTTTTCTGTATTTTCTTCACGTTGTAACACCTAAATAGAGGCCAGTTTCTTTTAGAAAATGCCCCAGAAGGCATCCCCTTGGCAGATTACCCATATGCTGCACTGCTGCATACAAACAAAGGAATGTTTGAATTGCTAGTTATTCCATTCAAGCCTCGTAACTGATTTAGAACACCAGTTTTATGTTCATAAACTCTTTAAGCTCTGAAAATGTCTTCTTTCTATGTACTTCGAGATGAAATTGTTTTTATTCCTCAGAGTACAAGGGAATTTATATAGCGAAACCAGTCAAACACAACGGTGCATTATAGCTTCACAGGGCCTAGGAAAATTGAATTAGGGATCCCCACGTATAGTGTTGACTTCAGACGTTTTTCTTGGGGGAATTCCTCAATATCTTCATTTGATTTTTAACACAATCTTCTAATTAAACTACAGAAAGTCCGACAGAATGACGAATGTTTCAAAAACATTAACCATTCGTCAAATAAAAACAGATATTTTCTGGCTTTTTGAAAACTCAAGTGCTTGCTTAAATGTAAATCTTATAAATCGATTACCTGAGAAAATTTCAAATTAATATCTATTTATATTTGTTTTTCAATAATTGATTATTTGAATAACTTTTCCAAAATGAAAATTAAGTATTTTTACTGAAAAATGAAAAGAAAATATTTTGATTAACTCATTCATCCAAATATCGTGTTACGGTAATTACCATTTGGTAAAAATTTTAGCTTTTAGTTTACTTAGACAACAAATCTGCTATTACTCGAGTTATCGACATTCGGATATTCGATATTCTGTTTTATTAGTAAATAAATTAGATTTTGGCTTTCGAAAGCAAAAGTAAATTTGTCACGAATTTGTCGGTTTTTGAATTCAAATTAAATTGAATGCCTTCAATTATAATTTCTATAATAATTTTGTATTTATATTTTCAATTAAAGTATTAATATTATACAAAATTTAAAGTTTTAACAACAAAATAAGATTTTTTTTTCCAGAAATTTATAGTAATTTATATTAACATGCCATGCTTATAATATATGAATTAGTTTTTAATAATATAAAATCGATTTTATTCAAAAATTTGCACCGATTTAAAATCAAAATTGCAAAAGTATTTGCTCTTTTGCTTGCGCTTCCTATTCTCCGATCCTTTTCTGTAGCCTCTCGTGCCCATTTCTCATCCAGGAATGTTAATGTAATATTTCCCTCATGCTGCATGTTTAGTTTATAGATATTTTCTTTTTTTGTTTTGTTTTAACAGATTCTTTAGCTAAGAAGCATGACTACAATATTATTACCCAATATTTTTGCTTGTTAGGAAGAGGTAGCACGTTGGCCAGAAGCAGTAGCGAAGGGACGCTCATGCACGACAGCCCTCCTCCGTACGCTGCCGAAGTCAGTGCGAGTAAGTAGAAAATTATCAGATTTGTTTTAAATAAATTTAGATAAATTAGATAAATCTTGATCTGTGTCAACAGATAAAACAATTTAATATATATCCTATCATTTTAATAAAACATTATTAACTCTTTTAACTGCTTGATATCTTTTTAGTACAAGAATTAATTCACAATTCGGCAGCTCTGTTTCTAGTCCCCGTACCACCGGCATGTCGTGATCCTCTACTAACGAGCCAAACTGGCAATGTTTCAATGCTTTCTACGAGTCTTCTCACTTCCGCTACTCCGACTAAACTATCTGTCGTAAATGGTGTGTAGGGATAACGCATGCATTTTTCTGTCTTTAAAAAACTTTCAAGATGTTTCTAAAGTGTCATTTTTGTATGAAATTTTGCACATTATATGGAGTGTTCCAGAATGAATGCTACAGTTTTAAATTACCATAATTATGTTAATTATTATTCAAGAAGTATTTGACATACACCATCAATAAAGTAACCTCCCCCCGAGTTTCTTCTCTTGTTTCCATTCAAACATCTTGTCTACTACCTCTAGAAAGTGCCATAAACAAATGTGGTGACTCGACAACTAAAGGCATTTTGCGTTCTGCAGTTTTCAAAGTTGGAACCGCTCGTCATTGTGTAACGCAAATAATCTTCAGATGCCGTACAATTGTGGCTGTCGTGAGACGCACATACACTGTAGCGAGCATAGGAAGAATTTGAGTATTAATTGGATGTGTGCCATGTGACACAAGGCACACACATTGAGAAATTGTAAGGTGCAAATGTGAAACTTGGATAGATTTTAATGTTTTAATGTACATTAAAACATTCTTGGATAATAATTAACATAATGATAATAATTTTAAATGGTAGCATTCTTTCTGGAAGACACTATATATTTATTTATAAAAAATAATTTAAATTTGTCCAAATTAAAATAACCATTCTGAAATGTGATAGTTTTTGTATGTCGGTAAACCGAATAATTACACACTTCGGAATGGCCTAATGGCAACTACAGTTCGTAATGATATAATTGCAACTACTAATACAGCAAATAAATAAATCATAAAATTTCTACTAACACTTTATTAACCAGATGTTTATATTCTTTTAAAACTTTCATTTCCTAAATGCTATTTAATACCTGATGTGTAGGGATTACTAATAATCTTCTCTAGCTACTGTAATCAAACATTTTCTAAGAGTTTTAAAGAAATTTTACATGTTTACTGTTAAGGATTTCTATATAAAATGCAGTAAAGAATTGTATTATAATTGGAATTTCTTACTGCACTTTATTTTTTTCTAAAGTAAATGTCACAAAATAGGATTATTATTCTGTTCTTACTTCAATTAAGCATTTAAAATGGTCTGTGAAATTAATAATTAAGCACTAAATTATTTAATACAGTTATAAGATTAAGAAAACTTCTCGGAATCAGTTTGATTCCTTAAAATTGAATTACTAGTTTCTTAGACCACGATAAATTTTCAGAACTCATTATTTACACTTTGAGAATATCTGGCTTTGTATATAAATAATAAATTAATTAAATATCATCAAACAATTAAATTTTATAATAGTAATCGACTCGAATATGTCTGTTAGGCTCTCTCTCTCATTATCCTCCACCTCCGCCGAGCTACAACACCAATCACAGGGCCACGCTGTCCCGCGATCACACTCCCGAAGAGACCGTTACAAAAAATTTGATATCTCACGCAGAAGTTAATTCGGAGGAAGAGGCGGAAGAAGAGGAAGAGGACACGGACAGGAGCCTGACTCCTCTGTCGTCCCTCTCCATCAACGGGATATCCGAGAAACACGAATTCATCATCGGAGACAGGTGAGAAACAAAATAAATTTTATAAAATAACATACAAATATTTTAAATTTTTTTAATTCTTTAAAGCATTTTGACTTTTTTTTTTTACCTGTTGTATAAATTTCAGATAAGAATATTTTATTTTTCTTCCTATAATTAATTCTTAAACTTCACTTATACTATAAAATATGTATTAAATTTATCTGTACTTCATAGTATAAACAGGAGTGGGGCTCCTGTCTGTGTCTTGTAGTTAATGAAAAATATATAGTTTTAATTTTAAATTGATTTTATAATACTAGATTTCAGTTTTATCTTCTATTTTCAGTTAAAATACTCACTTATTTCTTTAATTTACATAGAATATACACTACATGTATAGTGTATATACCTATTATACACTGTGTATTCAATGCATTATATACACTATTTATTACATACATTTTTAGAATTATTAATGTAAATTGATAATGATTAAATATGAAATAACACGAATTATTAGCTTTAAATATTAAATTAGGTGTTTTTTTTTAAGTAGAAGCAGTATAATTACTGCAGTTTTACTGTAGACGATTTTAAGTCAGAGAACACAGAATGACATGATCAATAACGTAAGGTTATGATAAGTAAAAGACGAAAAATCTATGGGAATACTTCATTAAGATATGGCAGATGAAGTAAATCAAGTTTTTAATGTGAATATATTGGGGGGTCGTGCTATTTGGCAATACTTAATCCGTTAATTTCGCCGCAGCCGCCGCCTCCGCCGCTCGGTTAAATGATGCAAATGTTTATAAATCGATCCAGGATATATTCAGTGTTGATCCATTAAACCATTTATGAAAATACACAAAACAAATTTCACTCCAGTCGCTATTTTTAGATCAGGTAATGGTAAAACTATAAACAATGAGGATGCAGAAGAAAAAAAAAAAAGAGGAATTCTTCGGTTCTTTCGATTTAATTCGCTCCTCATCTCTAAAGTGTTTTAATACGTCTCGTGGCATATTTTATGCATAATTTTACGCTAATTTAGCATTTTAAAGAGGATTTAAAAGCGGGAATTACGCGAATTATCTTCCAAAGAATCCTTTCTCCTATTTTTTTTTTCTTTTTTCTTTCTTTATTTTTGGTAATTCACTTTTTAAGAAGTGGCATTTATTGTTTCAGTCCCTCGGATACAAACTCGCCGACCAATTCCAACCCCGTTCAGAATCGTCCCTTAAAGAATATTATTCTGGAGCATCAAACGGATAAGGGGGTGCTGGTGCAATCTCCCTCGTGCCAGAGTCTGTCCAGTCAGGGAGACTCTCCCCCTTTGGTCTCCAATTCGTCGCCGGCCGAAGGTCACAAAAAGTCGCTTTCGGATACCATCCGGCAGACGTTTTCCAGTAACAACGTGTCCAAAAATCACACCAATCACTCTAGCTCTTCACTGGAGGAGGAATGCAAAAAGGAGAAAAAGAAGAGGCAACTTTTCTCCCATTTGAGAAAGAAAAAGTCGTGAAAAAAAAAAAACCTTGTTTTTAAACGTTGTAAAAGGGGCTATTTATCTGTTTCTCCCGGTTCATACCTCGTTGTATAATCGTTTCTTAACCTGGGGTCTCATTGTACATATTGTATTGTATATTGCAAGATGTAATAAAGACATTTGAACACTACTACTACTACTACTACTACCTCGGTCTTACGCTTCCAAGTTAAGTCTCCACCCTCTTTGTACTCGTCGTCTCGGAAGTAAACGCCCTCCCCCCTCCTCGCTCCCATTAAAATTCCGAGTAAATTTACGCTGGAGGGGGGAGATTTTTATTAATAATATCCATCATTTCAACAGCGTATCATTCAATTCTAAATTAAATATTTTTGCGGTTTATCAGATTTCTGGATTCGGAATTCTAACAAGGGAAGAATTGATTCAATTTTCGGGGGAGATAGAGCAGAACAATGCTTTTCGCTCTCACGTCCCGGTTTCGCGGGGGGAAAGAGGATGAAAGAGTGGCCCGGCCTTTTGGCAAATTTCGACTCCGTTGACCAACGTAATCGAAGATAAGAATCGTTTCTTTTCTTCTTCTTCTTATTTTTTTTAAATTAATCATTACACTGCGAAGTCTATTTAACAACTATTGTACTACTGCGGTAATTATGAGGATGTAATTGACATTCCCACCCCACAAAAAATGACTAATTGTCTCACGGTCAAAATGCAGGCAACTCACGATTTAAACTCATCTATCTTTGCCCCCGCTCCTCCCCCCCACGAAAAGAAAATGGTCTCGTTATATATTTTCAGCCGATCTGTCCCCCCCCTTTTTTTTAAAGTTTCACGCTGGGAAATTCGAAATTTCGTACGGGCCCGCCTTATTGGACTCTCAGTCGACCCCTTTTTGGTGCCGTTTCGAACAGGTGGCGTGGCGTTTCGACGACGACGACGACGACGACGACGTCACACCACACACACACACGGGAGGGGGGAGGCACGTCACAGAAAACATTAGCGAGTTTTTAATTTCTAATCACTTTTAAGTTAGACGGCCGCAGTAATTAAGAGGGGGAAGATAAATAGAAATTTTCGTTTCGTCCGATTTATTTCGAGATGCAGAAATAAAAGGAGGAGAGAGGAATGATAAAAGTTTTCTGCTGGCAGAAATTGATATAAGTGACGACGAGTGGCGCGCGCGCGCCCTCGCTCGCTCGCGATGGCGGGCCCCCCCCCGTAATGACAATGAAGTTTGACGACGTAATCCATTAGAAAGATTATATTTCGACCCCCCTTTTTTTAATTTTCTACAAATTCATCACGCAAATTGCGCATAATACGAAAGAGAAATCTTTTTATTTTTCCGAGTGGTTAAACTCTATTATTGTCGAGTAATTCGAGTACCCGCTCCGCTCCTTTTAAAATAGGAAAAAGCAATTAATTTATTTTTCCAGTTGTAAATTAAATTGTAATTAGCCCTTTGATTTTAATTGTAATTAAGTAACTACACTGTCTTCCAGCAGATGGGGCCAGGTTTATAGAAATAATGGAAACTGAGGCCAGGGTGCGTGCAGGAATTCTTATTGTTTTATATTAACATATATACATTAATATAGATATAGAATATATATAGAAATATATATATATATATATATATAAAAGAAAAGAAACTCTCGAGAATATAGATAAGAGGTAAAAAGTTGAGAGTCGAGAAAATAGAGTAAGAGTAAACCCGGTGTGTTGACAAAAGTGGAATTTTTCAAGTGGAGAAACGAAAAAGGGTCCACACGTATGGCAAACACGGTGATCGATGAGGTAAGGATGAGGATGGGAAAAGGAGCGAGCAGATTTAACCCAGCAGCTCATTAATCACTCAGCTAGCAAGAGATGTCCGTCGTATCTCAGCTTACAGCATCGGTCGGAGCTGATTACTAGAAGTCATTACCAAACTTTCCTCCCTTCTCTGTTGTTTACATCAAGTCGCACACGTTTTTCTGCCGTCTGTTGCATATTCTTATAAAATATCAAGAAAAACGCTGAAAATCGATTTCGTTTAATACAAAACTCCTAATGAAAATTGTTATACTCTTCCCTTTACCCCTGCATCCTCTCTACTCCGTGGAGGAGAGTGGGGGAAAAAAATATTAATCAGGCCCTTATTATCGCCCATAACCTTGTATAGGGATGCTCTTACCTTACAGCACTTCTATATAGGAACGAACATACTGGAAGAACGTGCATCCTCCTTTTTTTTTTGTTTTTTTTTACGGCTTGGCTTATCATAAAACAATAGGGTTTTAAGCGCTTATTAAATTCCCTCCTCATTAAGTCGGCCTTATTAACATCTCTACGCAAATACCAAGGGGGAAGGAGAGAACGAGCGTAATCATCGACACCTCTTCCTCTTCGTCCGCCATAAAAAATTTGATTAAAAAAAAAAACACTCCTCGTTAAGAGCACTCTATTAACAGATCTACGCCCCTTAAATTTCCTCGATAACAAAAATTGGGCAGAATCCTTCTTTCCCAAGGTCATAAACATCTCGCGCTTCTTTTCTACCCTTCTGAAATCTTCATTATTTTCCATGCTATTTTTAATCCCACAATATATATATATGTGTGTGTGTGTATGTGGGTATTTCTGTATATATTTCTAATTATCCCCTCGCGGTAGCTTTCGCCTAGAGGAGGGGAGGGGGAGAATAGAAAAAGTAAATTATTTTTCATCTCTATTGTATTTGGCTGTATGTATAAGGCAGTTCTATATCCTTTAATTAATTCTATCTCATCCATATGCCAAGTCACGGGAACTAGCCAGGAATCTGGATAATTTAAAACTTATCACCAGGCTAAGAGATGGCTGCGCCTGTCTGCTTGATGGATTGCTTTGTCCAAACATAAATTCAACTCGGTGATAAAAATACTGGAATGCTTAAACATTCATCAGCAGTTGAAACAGATAGGAAAAATATCCTTCGATACCCAATCGCGGTGATACACATTATTAGAGACGAGGATTTTTTTCTTTCCTCTCCTCCTCTTCCTCCTCCTCCACCTCTTCCTCCTCTTGCTCCTCCTCCTCCTGGTTGGTCTCCTTTTTTTCTTCCTCCCCCCGCGCGCTGTTTGTAGACATTTTAATAGAATAAAATTGTTTAAATCTCGAGAGAGAGAGAGAGAGAGATCCTCTTTTCTGTTTTTGGTGTTAGAAAATCAAAAGGAATTTTTGATGATGATAATAATAATAATAATATATATATATATATATATAGATGTATTATAAAAAAAACACTGTTTAATCTCGTCACAAAAGCTAAATACTCGAGGGGGTTGAGGGTGAATTGAAGGTTTGATGAGCGCGAATAAAACTGATGAATCGCCGAAAATTAAGATTTTTCTATCTTCCGAACCAATATTCAATGGCAGTTGTTTTATGAGGGGGGAAAAAAGTAGTGTTTTTGTGCGTCGGTGCCGACACTTCTTTCAACGACTGCTTCTATTTATCTCTCACTCTCAAGATCCCCAATCGATAATTGGTTTTTGTTTGTCGAACGATTCGCCATAATTGATAATGGCCCACCTTCTTAACTCCGACGATCGCTTGGATTTCTTATTTTTTTTATTTTTTTATTTTCCTCTCTCGTCTTCCCTCTTCCTCTCCTCCCTCTTTCCTAAAATTCAAAGTTTTGCGGAAGAAAATACGTGGAGTAATTTTCCGCTCGCGCTCTCTATTGATCTTTATAAAATTATCTCTTAATTAAAAATTCTTAATTAGGTTTACTTTCAAATTAAATCTTATGCGTTTTAAAAACTTGTAAATTTTTTATTTATTTATTTATTTATTGCTTTATTTTTAAGCAGAGAAGAGAGCCTCCGCGCGTTAGTTCGCTCTTCGGATAAAAGATGGCACTAAGTACGGCACGAGCGTTGTATTGTACTTCTTCCGGTTCCGGAGACCATCTCGTCCGAATACCCCTCGTAATTTTTTTTTTTTAATTTTGGCGGAAATTTGGCTAATTATTCCGATTTTCTGCCACCGAGCCAATTACTGTGGTGGGTGGGTGGGTGCTGGCCGAACACGTTAATTATCGATCGGGGGTGTATTTGAAGGGGGGTGTAGGAGCCAGAGTTACGCGATAATTCGAAAGAGGGCGCCGACGTAGCAACAGAAGGAACACACCCGCGCGCCACTAAGAAGTTTGTATGCAAATGTATACAGATGATCGCGGCGAGGCTGATGGGAATAAAAAACCGCACGTAAGTTGCCGTAGTTGATTTGCAAGGCAACTTCTACACCCGTTTGACTTAATGTACACTATTGTAATCGCCCGGGTTTCTAGCAAAATTATTTTACTTTGCAGATGACGTCAACGTAGGACGGAAAGAGGAAGGAATAATAATACAAAGGAAAAAAAAAAAGAAAGAAACAAGAAAATTTTAATGCGAACGTTTTCCACCCTCCGCTTGTTAATACGAAAATGATAACTCGCGACCGTTTCTCTCCCCCTAAAATTATTCTTAATTATGGCACCGGGCCCTAACGTAAGGGGAAAGGTAATTTGCAAGCGAGTCCGGATTAAGGAGGACGGGTTTTTCGGGACGTTAAAATAGGGGGGAGGGCGTTCGGACCCGTGTAAATTCGAAACGGGGGCGGAATAGTGGCAATGCTTTTTTTCGCGCGCGACTCGCCTGTGACGTCGCTCTCTCTCTCTCTCTTTCTTTCTCTCTCTACCTCTCTAATTCAGTCGTAAAGCTAATCAGCGTTGCCAGACCGGGCGCGGAATTATTGCCAGTCGTAAACGTTGCGTCTCTCCTTCATTAACAACAATAGGCGACCGACTAAATTAGCGTCGGGCTACTTTTGTTTCCTTACTTTACGGCCGCGGGCGGCAAAAACAATAAAACGCGTCGTTATCGCGGCCGGCACCACCCCGCGCCATTTTAATGGCGGGTCCATACCCGGTGTCCGAACTCCCTCTCCGGGCGACAGATGGCGCTGTAGCGAGGTGCCGGTCAATTAGTCTCACCTCCCTCCGCGTAAAGGTTTTGGCGGGTGGCGATTACGCGCGCGGAAAAACAAACAATACCAGGAATTTCCCGTTGGCTCTTTACTCCGTAATGCGCCGCAT